CCCCCCCCCCCACACACACACACACCATTTCGCTTCCCAGCTGGGTTTTCAGCAGGGGGCAGGAATTAGACCAAGGCTGTCAAGTGCAGTACGATGTACAACAATGTGGAAGTTCAAACTCGATGTGCTGGATTGTGCACATTTCCATCCTGCACTGGCACGTATTGTGCACAGCAGTGCATGCGTCGGTTCAACAGCGTACTTTGTTGAATACGTCGAAGTCGCTTCACAAGCAGAAAATCGACAGGGGGTGGCAATTAGAGAGGGGGTGGATCAACGGTACTTTAGGGTGCTGTAATTTCACAAATTTTCGGTGTACTTATATTTTCGGTACTTTCGGTGCATCTGTTTCATACCTAAAATTTCAACACACCGAACAAACACTAACGCATATAATCCAATAGGGAACTGCTTCCCTGTACCGAAAATTTCACTTCACCTAACCTAGCCTTTTGCTCTCATACCGAAAATATTGAGAACCGAAAATCTCTGAAACTAGAGTATTGGCAAGGCTGACTGTATGGACAGGTACAAGAGCACGTGGTGCCGTGAGCGTATCACTGCTAGGAATCTAGGGCATACCATACTTCCGCACATATTAGGATTATTAGCGCATGTGCTTATGTCCCGACAGAAGCACCCCCCCCCCCCCCCCAATTACAAGAGCGTGTGCTTATACTTATGTGAACACTATTGGCTAAACACCCGGGAGCTGAATATACTGCTAAAGAATTGTGATAACACCGTTGTTTAGGGCACAGACAAACCTTTATTACACATATAAGCGCATGGGCTTCTACCCGAACATGTTCACACTGCAAAAAATCTTTTTTGTAGCAAATTTTCACTTATAAGCCCATGGGTAAGAGAAGTAAAACAAGAGTGTGCAACTCCGGGATGGGTTGGCCCGCGGCGGAATTTTTTGTTGACGTAATGTTTTCGACGACGCACGCGCTGCGAGTCTTTTGGATAGTTTAGCCTCGTGCACTTGGCCGGGCTTTACATTACAAGGTCGGTGCCCAGAATGTGCTCTCACACTGCTCTGCGGCAAAATGCGCATTTAAAAAAAAAGGTGATTTCAACAAAAAATTCCGCCGCGGGAGGGGAGGTATCTGCAGATAGTGCAGAAGAGATCCGGAGTTGCACACTCTTGTTTATCTACTCTTGCCATGGGCTTATATGTGGGGAAGCACGATACATGTACATACCAGGTTTTGAAGTGAATTCCACACAGGGGACAGTCCGAAACAAGATCCCGTGCACCGCCAAGCCCATGGCGCTGCTGCTGCTGCAATCGTTGCTGCTGCTGTTGTCGCTGATGCTTCTGCTGTTGCTGCTGTTGTTGTTGCTGCCGAGGCTTTTGGAGCTCAGGTGGTTGCTGACCGAACTGGTGACGTCTGGGTGGCTCTGGTTGCCCAGGCTGTGGGCGATGCTGCTGCTGCGTCATCTGTTTGAGTTGCTGGTGCGGCTGGTGGTTGAGTTGCTGCCGTTCCTGGTGTGGCTGTTGCGTGTACTGGCGTTGTGGTAGGTTACGATGCTGTTGTTGCTGTTTGGTGGATTGGTGCGATTGAGTGTTCGGCTGTATCTGCTGTCCAACCTGCCGGTGTTTTGGGCTGGCTGCAGCCGCTGCTGTTGTGGCTGCTGCTGATGTTGATGAGGCCGGTGATGTAAACGTGGTGCTGTAGCGGCTGCTGGTGCCTGTGCCTTGTCCTCCATCGGCCTTTCTGGTGTAGGAGTCCGACGACGCAGCAGCAGCAGTGGTGGGTAGGCGCGATACCAGCTGCGGTGGCAGGGCGCGGGTAGACGAACCGTGAGCAAGCGCTCCAGTGGATGACATGTATGCCGCCACTCTGTCGCCGTCCGCCTTCTGTGCGCCTGCTCCGGAACGGTTGTCACGCCGATGACTTGCAGTTGTCATGGCAGCCTTGTACGCAGAGGAAGCTGTTGGTTTCAAGACTTTATCTACAGAGCTAGACGGATGATCGCGTCTTTCGCGGGCGACGCTGCTCGATTGCTGCTGCCATGGAGAAGCACTCGTCGTCTGCGGACACGTAGCAGGGTTTGGTTTTGCCTGCCGTTGATGCTGCTGAGCTAGCTGTTGCTTTTGCAGAGCCGAGGACGCAGCGCTCGACCGCCCAGCGCTACCCACTGTGTATTGGCGTGGCTGCGTAGCTGCCTGGCTTTGCACGCTTCGCCCTGCCGAGCGTTCAGCAGGCGGACGCGAAGACAACTCCATGTCTCTCTCGGCCGCGTCCACCGCGGCCAACGCGAGCCGCTCGTCTTCCTCACAGCTACCGTCGTCGTCAAACTCCGTTTCCATGGCGAACATGGCCACAGAGGACCGTGGTGGCAGAGCAGCTGTTGATGGCACGGCATGCGATGTGGATGCGATGGAGTTAGTGCGTGCAGTGGGGGCTGATACACCACCAGGACAGTCGGGATTCTCTGCACCAGAGCCATAAACTAATGTGTTACTCTGCGCTTTCAAGCCATGGCTAGGACGGCGAAACGAGTATTCGCTAGAAGTAGACGCGCGTGAGGCGTGACGCTCGGAAAGCAACGCCGATCCAGAAGCAGAGATGCTACCGGCGAATGGCCGTGTGTGATGTAGCGATGACGAGGACACCACCCTTTCCGCTCTCGTGTTCCCGCTGCCGGTCGAGGCAGTCACCGACCGATCAGCAGTCAAGTGATCGCTGGAGATGCCTGGCATTACATCACTGACAATATCATCCATGATGTCATCAGGTATGTCGATGTCATCCATGATGTCATCGGGTATGTCAATGTCATCAGGTATGTCGATGACATCAATAGACCGGCTGTCACGTGACATCTCACTGGTAATCAAGCGATGAGTGGGGTCGAGGCGATCTCGAGCGTTTGCAACAGCTGTGCTGCTGTGTGAGGGGTGCCGTGCGGCTGGAATAGCTTCGCTCTGCTTCGAACGGAAGCTCTCGGATTGTCCTGGTCGGCTAAACTGTGCTTTCAGAGTCTGCTGTTCTTGCTTGTCCTTGTCAGAAGCCAGTGGTTTGTGGAAACGAGGTGATTCTGCACGCCCATGGTGGCGGGAAGCCGTGCTGACTGAAGAACGCTCCAGGGTACGGTGGTTCTGGACAGGCGTGGCGGTGGTGGTGGTGGTGAGCGAACGCATCGACCTAGTCACATCACCGTCGTCGGCAGGTGCATGGAGAGTTGGCGACGGCGATGGCGGAGCACCAGAGGTGATCGACACGGTCGACGATGTGCCGTGCTGGCATTCTGTGAGCTTGGCTACTGCAGTGATATTGGTGCTGGTGGTGGCCGACTGCTGCTGGTGGTGTTGCTGCTGCCGGTATGGCTTGGTTGAGTCCAGCTCTGAGAGCAGGGCTGTAGTGCTGCTGCTGGTGGCCGATGGTTGATGCTGCTGCCGATACGGCTTGGCTGACTCCACCACTCCCTTTGGCATCCAGGCTCCTGTAGTGATGACGGTATTGTCTGTGGTGTCGGTGTTCTGGTGGCGAGGACGTCGACCAGTCATCGTTGCTGCATTTGTCATTCCAGTGGCAGCGGCACCTAGCGATGGCCACCGGTCACCTGGCGTGCAAGACCTTGACGGTGGCACGTTTCCAGAAGGTCTTGTACGCGACGAGTGCACTTCCATATCCACAGGATTGACCGCACCGACACGACGACCTTGGGTTGCGGATATCTGACTGCCACGATGTGTAGTGGTAGTAGTGGTAGAAGAAGCATCAGCAGATGTGTAGGGACTGAGTGGTCTTGGCTGGTGCACTCCTCTTGGTCGAGCTGTGGCGGGAGAACTGTGCTGTTGGACGTCAGACAACAGTGTCGCACGGACAGGCTCGCAAGACGGCGACCTCCTTGCCGGCACTCCGCGCTCTTCGGGCGGTGCATCCATTGTTCGCTTCACGCGCGCCGTCGCCTCGGCTGTGCTGACTGACACGGTGGGAGCAGGCGTGTGAAGACGTGCCCGTGACGACGCGGCGATCTCCTTACGACTACCGTCGACTCGTTCCAGCAGGTTGGCAGCAGCACGGTGAATCCGTTCGGTGGGTGGCGAACACGTGGCACCCTGTTCCGGTGCTTGTCCCTCTGCGACGGCCACGTGACGATCAGCTTGCGTGCCGAGGAAGTCAACCATGCGCGATTGTAGCTTGGATGACGCCTGCAACAATGGCGCCACGGAATGCGTCGTTGAGCTTAGTGGCTGCTGAAATATCGAACCATGAGTGGGATGAATATTTCGTGACAATAATTCTCCAAACCGCTGACCTGCAGTGTTTGATGATGTCACGCCATATGAACGAGGAACGGTGACGGATGGTGATGTCGACTCCATGGCACCAGGATCGGGCAAACAGCGAGATGAAATCGCGCCGCGTTTGCGACCCGCCGCATTGCCCAGGCTTAACGCCGGAGAAGAAGACAGTAAAGATGAGAGGACGCTCGAATGCTGCCAGCTAGCGGCTTCCGTCTTGATCGTGTCCGTCACTTGAGCTTCGGATACTGGAGTTTGTGGCATTTCTGCGACACCCTTCCTACGTGGACGTGAATGTAGGGGTCTCGTTTGGCGTGGTGTCACGTTACACCCGGCACATGGCACGCTATCACCGACACTAGACTGACGCATGGTGGGCATAGAGGCTGCGCTGGCCACGGAGGACTCCGCTGGCTGTGCATACATCCACTGTACAAACGGCAAACACACACAAACACAGACAGAGGAAAACTCAAACACCATCATTCGTCTTGCCAGCACACTGCTGGTGCCGCAAAGGTGTTCAAAAGCCGCTCAGATATCCCGACGCCCAAATTAAAGGCGATTTACACGACGGCAGTGCACCCCGCCGGGAAGTGAAGCACGCGATCCCGAGAGCTTGCGACGGGAAAAACGAAAATCGATTCACACGGCAGGATGCACGTACAGTACATGTAGTACAAAACAGTACACGGAATGCCACGGTATGCATCCCCAGTCCCCTCACGGCACCGGGACTGTACAGAGAAAGCTCGCGGGATAAGTTCGCGCCGGAAATTGAGTTCACGTGACTGAATCTCCATGGCAGCATCACACACGGAATGAATCCTGCAGTCGTGTAAATCGCCTCTTACGGACACTTCTGTCTACCGAGCACCATTTAGGTGAGTTCTAGTGGACATAATACAACTCCTTTGTCACATTCGTGGAAATAGTGACGTTATACGCCACGTGTCTGGCCTTTCCCCATCAAAACGTACCGTATTTCCTCGATTATAAGTCGCACTCGACTACAAGTCGCACCTCCATTTTCAGGTTTTGAGCCATATTGTTTTGTTATATTGACTTCAGTAGTAAGTCTTGCTTGATTGTAAGTCGCACCCGCTTTTTTTACGTACCATATTTGCCGGAGTATAGTGCGTACTTTGGAGGCACTACTTCTGGCCCCAAATCGCTGGTGCGCTATGCTCCGAATATGAAAAAAATGAACATGCACTTCGAAAGGTAATGCAATGCATCAAACTGTTACGAAGTGTGCCACCTCTGACCCTGCGCAAGCCATTTGAATGCATTTTTTTATGACAATGGTCGCACTCTAGTACTGTCTTATGGTTAATTAATACTGCTCAAATCTAGGCTGCGCATTATTCTCTGCATATACCTTGAATTAGTGGTGTGCACGGGTAGTCGTGTACCCGTGCTACCCGTGAGGACCTCGGGTAGACGGGTACCGAATCGTACCCGAAAACCCGAAGTCGCAGATGACATGTAGAAAGAGTGGAGAGAGAGGTCTACAGTGCACGTGTGCAAATAATTCACGCATGTCTACCCAGTGTGTAAGGGAAGGGGCCGGTGGGCATTGTGGTCTTACCATGGGAACATTACCCGATCGGGTACCCGTGCTACCCGTGGAAAACTACCCGGACCCGATACCCGAAGAAAATGCTACCCGACTCAGCCCTACCTTGAATTGCCAAAATATTGCTTAAAAATGGGGGTGCGCATTATACTCAGATGCGCGTTATACTCCGGCAAATATGGTAATTATACTCCGGTGGAGAGCCAAAGATTTATTTATAAGAAGAAAAGAGGACCAAAGAGCTACCACAGCTACCAAAGAACGGCAGCACCGTTGGTCAGCAGGGGCGTCGGACACGGTACGGTCACTACGGTATTGACCGTACCACTTTTCGCCCCAGGTACCCCGCGAATCCTTATACAAATACACTGATCTGGGATCTAAGTTCCCAAAATTTTCGGCTCAGCAACCCCTCCCCTTGAGTAAATTGTACTTCAGATGGTGACCGTACCACACTAAAATACCTTCCGACGCCCCTGGTCAGTGTCGTGCAATGTTATTGCATGAGCAGATTGTAAAGAAACTGGTGGTGTTCGTGGATACTGTAGCGTAACTTGTAGCTCTTCGCTCCTCTTTCTCCTTTTCTACCCTTGATTTATTTGTGTAAAAAGGTGTGATTCACTAGAGAACATGGGTAAAACGGACTGACCTGTCCAGGTGGTGGCAAATGAAATGGCTCATTGTGCTGGCCTGTGGAGTCACCACCACTCTTGTACTTATCCCGCTCGTCACTCCTGCTCAAACACACACACACACGATGCACACACACACACGCACGCACGCACACACACAGACTCAGACATGCCCATCGCTGAAGCAATGATAGCGAACAGATATGTTAGACATAGCAACTTGTGCTGGGATTACACCATTCAACAACTTGCAAGGCTGATGAATTGACCGCCACTAAATTTGGGCCTGGTATCCACCACACAGCTGATTGAAGTGGCTTTTTCTGGCCAGTGAATCCCTATTTTTCTTTTTCCGACGAGGAGACATTATGGAATCCAATACACCACACCACCACATTGTGCTCTTGGCCGATCCAAACTCTGCACTCACATCACAATCACCACAGCGAGGACAATTCCGGTATATAGCTTGATATTGACAATGACCCTCCAGACAGCTGTTTCGCTCCAGTACTTTGTGTATGAGGAGACATTAGTCACAAAATATCAATGAATAGGATGAATAATTGTGCTGTTGTGCAAATGGCTATGGACATATTACACAGTAATACAGACACGCCGGAACCGGTCCAGTTGGTCAGGTCATCATCGCACCGACTCCTTGGCCACCAGCGCATGTGTACTGCTGACAGAGGTGATGTGCACCAGCTATATGGTACCCTGTAAAAAGACCCACAGTCTGTGGGGATTGCCCTAGTCTGTCCATCCAGGAATCCGAGATTCCGCGGCCGCGGTAAAATCCGCGGAATTCATGTTTTTTTTAATATCCCGCGGAATTCACAGTTTTCATCGCAGAATCGTGAAAAATCAAGGTTTGGGGGCAATGCGAGCACGCGCTTCATATTCACGCACAGTGCAGTGTCCTGTCGCTATTTTGCATGATGTGCAGGTGCAATGGACAGTACAGCAACTGTACCAGTTTTCTTCGTTACTGTATTGAGCCTATCGTGTGTTTTCGACCACTAAATTTTTTATTGATACTTGCACATAGCATATAGCCATGTCTTTTCGCCGGTGCAGCGCCGCAGAAATACCGCAGTATTGCCGCAGAATTCACGCTATCCGCCGCATAATGTAGCGATTTGTGCCGCAGAATTCTGCGTAGAGTTTCAACTTTCTGTCCGCGGATTCCTGGAGGGACAGCCTAGTAAAATAATAAATACTACTACTACTACTACAGTAACAGTAAAACCTGTAACTAAAGACCACCGTGACTAGCGACCAGCCTGCTACTACAGTAAAACCTGTAACTAAAGACCACTGTGACTAGCGACCAGCCTGGTACTACAGTAAAACCTGTAACTAAAGACCACCGTGACTAGCGACCAGCCTGGTACTACAGTAAAACCTGTAACTAAAGACCACCGTGACTAGCGACCAGCCTGGTACTACAGTAAAACCTGTAACTAAAGACCACCGTGACTAGCGACCAGCCTGGTACTACAGTAAAACCTGTAACTAAAGACCACCGTGACTAGCGACCAGCCTGCTACTACAGTAAAACCTGTAACTAAAGACCACTGTGACTAGCGACCAGCCTGGTACTACAGTAAAACCTGTAACTAAAGACCACCGTGACTAGCGACCAGCCTGGTACTACAGTAAAACCTGTAACTAAAGACCACCGTGACTAGCGACCAGCCTGGTACTACAGTAAAACCTGTAACTAAAGACCACCGTGACTAGCGACCAGCCTGGTACTACAGTAAAACCTGTAACTAAAGACCACCGTGACTAGCGACCAGCCTGGTACTACAGTAAAACCTGTAACTAAAGACCACCGTGACTAGCGACCAGCCTGGTACTACAGTAAAACCTGTAACTAAAGACCACCGTGACTAGCGACCAGCCTGGTACTACAGTAAAACCTGTAACTAAAGACCACCGTGACTAGCGACCAGCCTGGTACTACAGTAAAACCTGTAACTAAAGACCACCGTGACTAGCGACCAGCCTGGTACTACAGTAAAACCTGTAACTAAAGACCACCGTGACTAGCGACCAGCCTGGTACTACAGTAAAACCTGTAACTAAAGACCACCGTGACTAGCGACCAGCCTGGTACTACAGTAAAACCTGTAACTAAAGACCACCGTGACTAGCGACCAGCCTGGTACTACAGTAAAACCTGTAACTAAAGACCACCGTGACTAGCGACCAGCCTGGTACTACAGTAAAACCTGTAACTAAAGACCACCGTGACTAGCAACCAGCCTGGTACTACAGTAAAACCTGTAACTAAAGACCACCGTGACTAGCGACCAGCCTGGTACTACAGACCACTTCACCAGGCACGGAGGGTCTCACATTCAAAATGCAATGCATTGTGACTAGCAACTACCTGCTGAACGCGACCAGTAACCGCCTTTTCTTGTCCCAAAGACAACTTTTGACCCGTAACTAGCGACCGCGATGTAGGAAATCAAATGTTGCTCGAAGCTTCTTCTTGAAATTTTGCTGATTTTCCAAGGTCCTGAAAGAAAACTTTCGATACTACAGCTGAACAAATGAACGCAGGTCATTTTGACTGTGCAGTCGGTGTGGACTGCACTGTACCTGTCAAAGTTTCAAGCCCTGTGAAGAATAAACATGATAGGAAACGTCTTGGAGAGCGCATCGGAAGCGCTCTCTTATCAATGTTACTACTCGGAGGAGAAACGAAGACTGAGCGGCTCTGTCACCCCAGTCATACAGACGAATCGACGATGGCATCAAGGGATCCATAAACCAAGCAGCACCACAAGGTCCTGATGCTGACGGATCGCGTTCAAGCAATCAAGACGTCCGCACAAGGACAGTCGGTACGATTGATTGCATGAACAAATTTGAAGCCCAGCGCAAAACGAAACTTACACAGGGAGCGTTTGACTCCTGGCTTCAGAAGTAGCAGCTGAATTTGATGTCCGCAAAAAATTAAACTCTTCTCTCTTTCTCTCTCCCTCTCTCTCTCTCTGACTCTCTCCGTCTCTCCGTCTCTCCGTCTTTCTCTCCAAGTGTTGTTTGACCTAAAATAAGAATGGTATTGCGCAAGTTCTGGGGAATTGTATTGGCTGCATTTTGACATACATATCATCTAACGGGATCCATATATGGTCACGCAGTGCAAACCTCTAAGTAAAGACCACCTGCTAGTAAAGACCGCTTTTGCTGGAACCAAGGGGTGGTCGGTAGTCACAGGTTTTTACTGTACTTCTAGGACTGTAGCATACACAAAGTACTGTCGCGGACATGGAAATCCAGTCGCAGATCAAGCGGCCCCAGGACGCTGGCCGCGAGTACGCATGTCATCAACAAGTGCACTGTGCATGCAACGCTCTGTGCGCACTGATGGCGTCGGCCGCGGTCATTCAACCGGATTTCCATGTCCACGACAGTAGAAGCTATAATGGCATGGTCGGACCAATAAAAAAAAAAAGGTTTCCGGCGATGCTGTACTGGTGTGATTTGCCTACCCTATAATACTCGTTTACAATAGCAATACATGCACATTAGAGTGACTTTATGCAGCTGTTCACCTGTGCGTATGGCGATGACTTTGCTCGCGGCCAGTCGTGTCCTCTCCACTGCTCTCGTCACTGACAACAATGCCAAACTGCTGAGTAGATCGACTACGCTCCTGGCGTTTCGGTGGCGACTCAGGAATGGTCAGCAGCAAGGAATCCGCTGATCCACTCTGTTCTAGCTCTTCGCGTTTCCTCTTTAGCAAGCGCAGGCGGTTACGCTTGGCCCCGCTCTGCATGCCACCGCCACATTTCCAAGAGAGACACGGGGTAACGGCAGCAGCAGGCGTGCGTCAGGAATCGGCTATGTGTGCTCTTGTATAGTATTTGTTGTTCAGAACTGAGAGTGAGAACTCCCTTAGGACATTTGTCTAAGGCGTGCAAGCAAGCCTGGTTCTGGCTGGCGGGTCGTAAGTTTTCCGTGACCGATGTGCTCAGCGAAAGACTGATAACAGACACTGCCAAACCATAGGTCAATGAGTAAGGTCGTGCCAATACAATAACTCTACAATGTAAGTATGATGTGATGCAAACAATTGCACAAGAGAGTTCTGAGTTTCAAAATTATTTCCAACTATCGCAAGATCAAACTGCACAATCAGGGAGTCGTCAAAAAATGTATTTGACGACTCCCTGTGCACAATCATTCAAAACAAAACAAATGCTGCCAAATAATTCTTTTTTTGCAAAAACATCATACTCAAATTTTGCCGCCATTTGTGTTGTTATGGCAAATATGGCGCCTCCACACTGGCGTTCGTTGAACGAGCATTCCTGAAAAAAATATTCGAGTAAAAAATTGCATGCCATTCTAGTTCTCTGATTTTCGAGAACAGAATCAAGGGATATCGACAGAAAGTTTCTAGTTTTCAAAGCTTGGATTGCTCCTGCCTATCCTTGCAAGGTTTAGAGGGCTTTCACGATGTCAATCGGTATCCCAGTGAAGCTCCTTCACGAGGCCGTGGGCCATATCATCACCTGCGAGACAATGTCGGGTGAGGTGTACCGTGGCAAGCTACTGGATGCTGAGGACAATATGAATATCCAGATGCACAGCATTACGATGACTGCCCGCAACGGCCAGGTCACACAACTGGAGCAGGTGTTCCTCCGCGGCAGCAAGATCCGCTTCTTTATCTTGCCCGACATGCTTAAGAATGCGCCTATGTTCAAGCGCCAGCAGAAGGGCGCAACGTCGTCCGTTGGCAGAGGAAAGTCAGCCATTCTCAGAGCGCAAGGTGCGTGTATAATTCATGTGACATCCATCTGCGTGGTATTGGTCTGTGCAAGTGTTTATGTATGTGCGCGCGCGTGTGTGTATGTGTGTGTGCATTTAACACCGCACCTGACCCAGAAACCACTGGCTGGGTGCATCAGCACCTGACCCAGAAACCACTGGCTGGGTGCATCATCTCTTTTCGGAGTATACATTGATAGAGGATGTACTTTCCTCCCCCAAAAACCCTAGTCGGAGTACAGTCTACAGCACTATCCCCTCCTTTGTGGGCTTATCAACGCAGCACAGAGAAATGGGGCCGAACACGGTAGCATTTGCAAAATGCAATCAGCCTCATGCACATTGTGCAGATGATGAACGCAAATCCCGTAGAATCATGTAGGCCCAGTTGGGTGTTGAATGTGCAGGACTCTATCGTGTATGCTGCTCCCGTGAAAGACAGTAAATAAGTACCTGCCCTAAATAAATACCCCTTTCATCCTGTTGACTCTGTCTGTTGAAGTCAAGTTCAGCGCGATAAACATACAGTCAACTTTGCGTACAACGACACTCGGCGGGGCATCAAAAAAGTGTCCTTATACCTGAAGTCTCATTGTATGTATTACAGTTAGATGGGACTTTGCTCTGGGCATGGAAATTCTGTCGTTATCCGCGCACTGTCGTTATATCCGCAGTCGTTATTAGCGAAGTTGACTGTACTGCCCAAGATAAGTACTGGTCCGATTCGCACATGCAGCGCGTAGCGTATACATCGACATGAAGAATGACTTCTCCACTGCACACAAGTCAGGTCCGAAAGTTTAATTCGTACCCGAAAGTGAGTACGGGTGTGCACACTAAATTCGAAAGTAAGTACGTAGCTATTTACGGACTTTTACGGTATTTCCACTGGGAGGCATGCCCTGAAGGCATTTCATACAATCTTTTTCAGAGGCATGTCTAGCTAGTTCTCAGGGCTTTCCAAAATAGGGTTCGACATGCTCTTTGTTCCATGTGTGCAGTACTGTGGGTCGCCGAAGAACTGGGGTAGTCAGCCTAGACCATTCTTACAGTAAAACCTGTGACTAACGACCACCCCTTGGGGCCAGAGAAAGCGGTCTTTAGTAGCAGGTGGTCCTTAGTTAGAGGTTTGCACCGCACAACCATGTGAGACCGTCCATGCCTGGCGAAGTGGTCTCTAGTACCAGGCTGGTCGCTAGTCACGGTGGTCTTTAGGTAGAGGGTTGCACCGCACAACCATGTGAGACCGTCCATGCCTGGCGATGTGGTCTGTAGTACCAGGCTGGTCGCTAGTCACGGTGGTCTTTAGTTACAGGTTTTACTGTTTTTGCATACTGCAGTCTACACCCAGTAGAGTCACCATGTATGCATCGGTATGCTGTGCTTGGTGAAACTCTAAACCTGTTCATTCTTCGGCGCCCGGTATTACAGTACGGGATTGCGTGCGGTGGCTGGCCAGGCCAGCTAGCCCAGCGTCCCAGCCTGTACAGTCGCTCGATACACTGCACCAAACCCAGGAGCTCACTTGGCACGACACGAGTAGTCTGCGAAGACATCGTGTAGCAGCAGCAGCATGTACATGTACAGTACTACTCGATGTAATTCAGTCGCAGCACTCAAGTACGCGCTGGGCATTGCGCAGCCCTACAGTCCATTCAGAAAAAGATGGACTTCTAGCTTTTGGCCATAACTGGGTGAAACGTTGAGTTTTTTTAGAATTTTTTTCTGCAATCCCCTATGGAATCCTCTTCCAATTATTATGTTTCTGAAGTCTATTTCTCCAAAAAGCAAGCCATAGCAAGAATAGGATTTCGGCCAGGTTTTGCCCCAAGAGCACTGAATTGGGGAAACCCATCAAAATCCAGGCCGTTTGACCCTGCCTGCAACAGTGCATTGTACGGTTCGAACCCCAGTTCAGGTACCCTTTTTGGACCCCTTTTTCAAATTTCAAATTTCACAGCACTGCACTGTGTACGATAAAATCTTGAAAAATCGCCTAATACGGGAGCTCGCCAGAGCCAGGGCCCATCTTTTTGTGAATGGACTGTAGACCTGCGAACACTGGGCTGCGCAATGGTGCAAAGTGTAAACTTGACTCACGCCGCCGGATTTCATTGAGTAGCACTGTGCATAAAACAGACACTTTTCTGGAGAAATGGATAATATTTATGATTGTTGCCTTCATTGTGACGAGAGAAAAAATGACGTGCACAATTATGCGATCACTGGTGCAACTGCCTCTGCCTGGTGCAACTGCCTGTAGCACCTGCCTCAGTCCTTTCAATGTCTGTAATTACCAGGTTTGATTGTATTGAAAGTTTACGTTAGTTATGAAAAAGATGCACCGAAAGTATCCAACATGAAATGTACTCCGAACATTTGTGAAATTACGGCATTCGCTATCAGAGCGGGGGTGAAATACACTGGGATCTCTTTTTATTCAATGCCGGCAATATAATTACGCCACCGTCATTTCAGGTACTGTACGTTTTCATCTCCCCTTCACTCCCAAGAAATCTGCATGAATTGCAAGGATGTCATGAATACATTAGGGTACCTCAACTCGAACCTTCCAAATACGGTCTCTTCGCTGCACACATTACCTCAAAATAGATAAATAATTGAATCCATGAATATATTCAATTGTTCTAGATTTTTCAATCTATCAGTGCTTCAAGTGAAACTAGACAGGCTGGTGGGATGCTACCTTCACTGTACCCACACACTGTAGCCACAAGCTACTGTGCACGGAGCCCCTATGCATCGGCTAGCCATACGCTGTGAGATTGAGTAGGGAATATGGAATATTGGAGTGTTGTGCCTGCTCCTGCCGTGTCCAGCAGATCCTAGACATGTTATAAAAAAATTTCCTTATACCGGTATTCAATTATTTTAGTTTTTTCGATCTATCAGTGCTTCAAGTGAAACTAGACAGGCTGGTGGGATGGTACCTTCACTGTACCCACACACTGTATGCACGCTGAGAGGCTAAGCACAACGTGTCCAGCAGATCCTAGACATGTTATATATTTTGTTGTTGTTGTTGGTGGTGGTGGTGGTGGTGGTGGTGGTGGTGGTGTGGGTGTACATGTGTGTTTGTGTGCGTGTATGTGTACATATGTGTGTGTGTGTGTGTGTGTGTGTGTGTGTGTGTGTGTGTGTGTGTGTGTGCGTGCGTGCGTGCGTGTGCATTGCTGTGTTATACAGCTGCTGCGGCGAGACAGCGCGGGCGCAATGCCATCGAGGAGAAAAAGAGAGCCGGCATCTACCCAAGACGCCGGTGATTCTACTCCTCTGCGTTCGTGTGTGTGTGCGTGTGCGTGTGTGTTCAGTATGTTCCATTCACGGCATTGGCTGGCGGTTGTCCTGTGGCTTCTCCCGCCCCCAGCAATCCCAGTCTCTTCTACTTCCTTCTTTCTTTCTGTTGGCTTTTTTATATGCCTCGCATTTGCCCCCTTGGATGTCTTGACAAACACATACATAGCGGTCGGATTAGCGGGTGTACAATGTCATTCTGCCATCATCATAATCCTCTGTCGTTAAACTTCCTTTCCTTGCTTGTTTCTCTGGCCTGGTCTTGTTCGCATCGTCATTGTCCATAGTTGTCCATTTTCTGGTTTGTTCGAATACGTGTTAGACTGCTTTTTTTGCACATAATGAATTTTATGCATTCTTCTCGTTATTGTGGTATGCAATGGTGATGGTCACTGCTGGTGTTTGGTGACGTACAATCCGGCCCAGGGTGTCTGTGGTGTGTGTGTGGGGGGGGGGGGGGGTGAAGCGCAACCCCTTACCCGGCCCAGGTTTCTGTGTGTGGTGTGTAGGGGGACGGGGGGGGGGGGGGTGAAGTGCAACCCGCCCCAGGATTCTGTGTGTGGGGGGGGGGGGGGTGAAGTGCAACCCGGCCCAGGTGTCTGTGTGTTGGGGGGGGGGGGGTGCGAGCACTTCAACACGTGGCCGTGTGCTGGTAGTAAACGGCGCACGGGTACATCAGCGTGGCTCCGGGCGGGGTCGCCCTGCCGGCATAATAAATTAATAATTATTGGCATAATTTGGTGGTTGAAAAGTTGGAGCATAATTTGGCCGGAAAGGATGATCCTTTCGGAGGTAGGAGCATAACTACATGATTGTGCCACAGTTCTAGTATGAAGGCTACACAATTGTGTACAATGCACCTGATAAGTGCTGGTGCTCTGCATGGTAATTAGGCACCGGTGGATTATTCTCCCGAAATCAAGGGATTATGCTTTCATGGATTCTCGCATTATGCTTGTAAAATCCTCATATTATGCTTTGGCACCCGGGGATATATATTGACTTTGTTGTACTTATGGAGCCTCAAAGTTCGGGAAATTGTGCGTTTTTTCGTACTTGCAAGTGACAGTAGTTGCAAGTGGCCATAAGTACAAGAAAATACATGTACTGTACATGTACATGAGTATCCCCATACCAAGGGCAAGGTGTCCATGCATGTAAGAGGTCAACATGGAAAAGAGAAAACAATACTTCTTCTATTCATTCCTTGATTTCTTTTGTACTTCAGTAAAAATAATTATTTCATTGCTAAATTAGTTTGAGTTACCTTTGAAAATTATCATGTTCAACTGTCTTCGTAATCATCATACTCGTCCATCCGATGTCACCCTGGGCCTCACCCTGCGAATAATCATAATATATTATCATCTCTCCCTAGCTCCACGTCTCCTTCCATCATGACCGAACATCATCTATACATCAATTAATATTTAGAGCAATATCCGTAGCCTACAGTCATATCATGGCTACAAAAGTCCAGACTGGTCATGACTTCGTAACATGCATCAGGGGCGTACATAGGGCGGTTCCCGGGATGCCCGGGAACCAGTAAAACAATTCCATGTGGGTACAGAGAATTTGTTGATCCAGGCCCAGCGCTCACAGTGCAAGTGCATGCCTGGCATCCGCCTGACGGTCCGATCGAGGACGGTGACTAGCCCAGCTAGGTGTGAAAGTAGTGCTGGGACACAGCGTACTGAACTGAGGACGGTGACTAGCCCAGGTGTGAAAGTAGTGCTGGGACACAGCGTACTGAACTGGGTTCAACAAAGTCTCTACTGTAGTTACATCGCCGGATTCCTCGATCTCAGAGTCAAATTTTCCTTTGGAGTTTGTTTTGACAAAGTAATTAGTTGGTTGTGTTTTGACTATGCTTTCGCTTTGTGGAAAAGAAAAAATGAAGCGTCGACATCCAGAGGGCCAGCGCTCTATTCAGAGCTATTTTGAGCTGCAGACAAAGCGTGTAGCCAGTGCTAGTGGCGAAGGTCAAGCGATAGATGAGAATGCAGACGCACCTGACTTGCAAGCGAAGTCTGCATCCAACGAGCAGCGTTGAGGAAGGAATCGTCGGCGAAGCTGTAGAGCGACCGTTGTTGGAAGCTGCTGGATCATCCAAAACAAACTTCAATGACATGGGAGTGTGTTGGACGGGATATTCTGAAAGTCGACGTCCACAGCGGAATCCAGTCCCCCGAAATTTGCTGGACACGGAAAAGATTTCCGTCATCGACAATCATTGTGCGCCACCGAAGGCGAAGGATTTCGTTTCCTGTGCGTGTCCAGACGGATGGCAAACAGCGCCACTTTCAACTATCCTTGTTAGAGGAGTTACCCTGGGTAGCCTTTTGACAGGCATGCAATGGTGGCTTCTGCTTGCCCTGTGTGATGTTTGCTCCAGATGATTCGAAACTTAGGCAGCTTCAGGCTTTCAAGACCGCATGCAATCGTCATGTTGAACAAAACATCCATAAAACGGGGAAAAATTCTGTCCTTTAAAATCATAAATGCGTAGCAATGACATCATCATCCAGCAGCTTGTGGATGTTAATTTCACCCAGTCTGAGGAGAATATGCAGAAACTCCGTGGGATACGAAAAACAGCACTTCAATTGTGTGGAATGTTGGTGCATCAGTTGGCATGGGAACCACTCCTGGAGGCGAGCGGCGTACGCCCCTGTGCATAATGTACAAATGTAATGTACAATCATGTACATGTACACGGAGTTATGCGGACTACCCGCCACTACATGTACATGTATCACGTCCGCCCCGGGATACCTGATGAAAGCTGATTCACTCGCATCTTCTGCGGCTACATGTACTGTGTCAGTGTGAGGAAGAACTTTGAAAACGACGAGTTCGAGCATACAATAATGCATTGCCATGATTTCTACCCTGCTTTTCATTGAAAACACTATCTGCATGACCTCCGAACCCTTTGCCATGCAGACCACCAGCACTGATCAGGTGCATTGCACACAATTGTATAGCCTATATACTAGAACTGTGGTATACTCGTGTAGTTGTGCTAACCATTTCACTGATGAATACTATACTAGTCGATATCGACGATATCCAAGTGGAGTTCAGCCTGGAGATTTAGCTCGTTTTGAAGACTCTGACATTCAGTACTACACTGGTTTTCCTTTGCTTGCTGCGTTTGATGCATGTATTCAATAGGGCTTGAAATATTCATACTTAATAGGGCTTGAAAGTGATGACGTCAAAAACGGCCTGGGAGTAGTAAATTGACATCAGATTTCTATTTTGGATCCACTAAGGTGTGACTTTGCTATTGCCTCAGTATGTGGGTGCATAGCAACCCACTCATGTCGTATGCAGGTGCAACTTTTACTTCGCCACCAGTTGTCACCCCGCCCCCACTAGCCAAATCAGTCAGTTTCACTGGCAACATCACCTTGCTGTGAGTGAGACCGCTTGAAATGTGCTTGGATCCATACAAAAACTGGATCCAGGTGGATCCAGTTTTTTTTCGAATTTTTCAAATTGTTGCTATGCCATTGCTATGGAGTGACGTAGCACTTTCAAGCCCTATTTCTTCACCTGGATTATTAGAGCGTCTTTCCTTTCGCAGTAAACCAGTGGATGCTGATTCCCTCATTTTTTCATTACCATGGTTCATCTTCGCCACGGCACAGACATACGAGTGCTGGCTGATCTGTATTTGATATTATACTGGGACTGTGAGGTGTATAATCACAGCAATAGACAACTCTATTATGTACCTCCGACTTGGAATGATACCTATCTGGCCGCGTCTTTCCCAAGTGTCAGAACGATTGCTGGATGTTTTCAAAAAGCTCCGTCCTACAACATTCATGATCATAGATGCTACAGTGCTGAAATGTAATATCGCTTCCAGTCTGTCTGGGCAGTCACATCTCTCATATACGCATAACGTTACTACCTTGAAGAGCCTCATCCGTATGACCCCAGATGGTGGTGCGGCATTTACCTCCAAGTCATTAACGGGATCCACCAGTGACGAGCTCACAATCAGAAGCCACTACTTAGATCGTCTGCCAGTAGCCGGCTATGGGACTTTGATTATGGCAGACCAAGGATTTGACATCCAGGATCTCTTAATGCCTCATGAGTCATGGCGTAAAGTTGAACATTCCCCCGTTCAAGCGATCCGAGCAACAGATGGCCTTAGAAGACGTCCAGAAAACGCAACAAATTGCCACGTTACGAATTCATGTTGAGTGTCTGACGGAGCGAATCAGGGGAGTTTTCTATCTTTTCAAAGATCGTTCCAACAACTCTTTTCCCTATCATCATTCAGATAATGGATTGTTCGCTGCCTGCTCACAGTATTCCAGGCTCCTTTACTTGCTGAAGCAAATTATGTTTTCCATGCCAACTGTTGCTAGCATTGCATGGCGAATTGATCTTCAGTAGACCTTGACGGATTATGCTAGCATAATTTTTCGCATAATTCCTACCAAAATCGAAAAATCACATAATTCGAGGCAAATTGCATACGAATCGCATAAAATTGGAATAATCCGCCTGTTCGCATCAAATTCCATACAGTTGTACATGTTCTACAAGTACAAGTACAAGTAGATACACCAGGAAGGCGTAGGTTTACGACTCCCTTGATAACATGTCCAGTCCACTACAATCAGTGACCAGGGTGACGATCGTAGCTAGGTCGGACGGTGCGTTGACCCCGTTGAACTTTTGCTACTACAGTACAACGCCCTCTACAAAAAAATTCACCTGCTACTTTGCACAGAACCAAAGCTGCCCTCAGGAAATTTACAGCTGACTATGCAGGCGAAGCAACACGAATTTTGTCATGCCTGAACAATCATGCACAATACGGAGCAGTTAATGACTTAGTGGGTATAAATGTGGATAGTATGATATTATAATTTAGATTGCAATATTTGCAAAAGTGCAAAAAGAAAAACGGACTTAAGGAAGTCCAGTTCCTCAGCTAGTTTGGAAGAGCCTTCACCTGGTTTGATTCTCTTGAAGATAGCCAAATCTTTCTTGGTATTCTAAATGACCTACATCCTTCCATACGTTTTACGTGTGAACACGAACAAGCCAACAATCTTCCCTTTCTAGACGTCCTTGTGGAAAAGTCTAGTCAGGGTACCGTAACATCTGTGTACAGAAAGCCTACATTCACCGGCCAGTACATAATTTTTGACTCGTATTGTTCGTACCAAGCAATACAAGGTGAATTTAGTGCGTAACTTGGTGGATCGAGCAGAGCGTATTTGCTCCTCCTCCAAACTAGCTGAGGAACTGGACTTCCTTAAGTCCGTTTTTCTAAAGAACGGGTACCCTGACGATCTATTGAAGGAACTCATGAGCGAAAGGCTGGATAAAAAGGAAAAACGTTTTGGCCCGGAAAAATGTCCCACGTATCTTTCTCTCC